TCGTTGCAGATTAACCGATACTCAATATTTCAAAACCAACGTAAAAGGACTTATAACTCAATTTTAGAGAACGGTTCAAATTGAACCGCTCTCATAAGTCACCTTTAGAGAGCGGTTCAGCTCTCATAAGTCATCTTTAGAGAGCGGTTCAAATTGAACCGCTCTCATAAGTCATTTTTTTTATTTAAATAATACTTTTTAAGGAACCGGTTGGCAGTGGTATCGGACTTTATAGGACGATAGTTTTGTCGCTGGTTATCGGTTTGAATGGAGCGATACTATCCCCCTATTTCTACCACCCACGCTCCCTTCAATTTCACTTTGTACATTTGTATTGGAGGAGCGGAAACAGAGAAGCAGGAAGCAAGGAGCAGGAAGCAAGAAGCAGGAAAAGCATATTCAAGGTTAGTAAATTTTGGTATTAGTTATATAAAATGTTTGTATTAATAATGTTAAAATTTTAGTATGAAATTATTAATTAAAATTAGTAAAATAGTAGAAGGATTTAAATATATTGAGTATCATGTTATTATATAAATTTATAGTATGAAATTTAAATTAATTTATTAATTAAAATTAGTAAAATAATGGAAAGATTTAAATATATTTAATATCATGTTTATGTAGATTTGTTGGAGAGTATGTATTTATATAATTTATTCTAATAAATTTATGGACAAAAATTAGGAAAAAATTGTGGTACACATGTAAAGTGTAAATTTTGTATTGAAAAATTTACTATATTGTAAATGTAGTTATTGTTGTAATTTTTAATTAAATTAAGAAATATTAATTTGATATTTAATACAATTTGAGAAGAATAAGTGTTAAAATTATGTAAATTAGGATGCACAAATAGGTAATAAGTCAATAAATATTATGTAGATTATATAAATATGAAAGTTTTAAAAATTTAAAAAGATGATTAATACAATAAAATGAAGTATAAGTGAATTATTAAAATATAGGAAAAAGTGTGAAATTTTGTAATTATAATTAGAATATGAATTAGGTTATTTACAATTAACATTTAAATTAATATATATGTTCTAATTGAGTATTATAATTTGTTGATGCAGGATGACTGATTTTGTGATAATTGTACATTGGAACGGTCGAATATTTTCAAGTAACGAATGTGTTACGTTTGAAGGAAATAATAAAATGATTAAGATTGAACGTGGAATAAGTTTGGAGACATTGAAAAGAAAAATTCATGCAAAACTGAAATTGTCTACTAGTCAGGTTATATCTAGGTTGATTTCACGATTTTTAGTAGACCCGATTGTTAGACAATACACAATGTTAGATATATGCGATAATGAAGATATTGATTGCATGTTAAGTGCTTTTCTTCAACAAAATCAGTGAAGTGCAATCGAAGTATATGCAGATATTGCGTCTGGTGAAAGTTCTTGTATTCAATTACAAGGTGTGGACTTAAATTTATCATGTTCACGTGAGAACATGTCTGAGGCAGATGCACTCCCTTTTGTATCAGGTGTTAGTAATTATATATTTTCTTATGACAATATATATATATATATATATATTTAATTTTATTGTATTTATGTTTACTTAACAATAATACTGTCATGGTTGTGTAGATTGTGAATATGAGAATGAGGATGATGATGACAATAACAGTGAATGGGGGGATCTTGAAAAAACTTCATCTGAATCTGATTTAGAGGGTGGATCTTATAGTAACTTGAATATAAGTGATAATGCAGGAGTCCAAGGTATTAAGTACATTTAAATGTTATAAAATACGTTTTCATATACATGTAAAATAAATTGGTGAATGATAATGCAATATGCAGGCTTGATTGAAACTCCTTTTTGGAATTCAAGTCCACATTATACCTATATTAACTGGGGTCATGCTGATGATGAAATGGAAAATATAGATGTTGATCCTGATCAAGCATGGAGGGAGGGTGATGCATTAGTTGTTGGTCAAATCTAAGTCAAATGCACAGTTTTTACATATACAAACTTTCACATTTTTCATTTCATACATATAATTACTAAAATCTGATACAAAATTTACAAAAAAAAGTTAAACTGCATTTGATATAGAATTTTAACCTTTAATGCCGGCAGCAACAACGACTATTCCAGTTCACCAATATCGGCTCCTAAATTACAGATTGAAATCGGTTATTATTTTTCAAATGAAACTCAATAAAATATCACAAATTCAACAAAATAATTTTTACCTTCCAATATTTCAGAGAATAATGCAAACGAAATGAAATTTTTACACAAGACTTTTGCAAACTCGCATAAAAAACCTTCAACGCCGGCGTTAATGGAGATTATGATGGAGGGGAAGAGAAGTAGAAGCTTGGGCGGCGTCAGTTCCAATATTCCAGGTGTCGTGGCCCCAACTAGTATCGCTCCAAAAGAAACGATAAGCCAGTCGACGTGTCAGAGACGATACACATACGATCTCGACACGTGGCACAATTTATCCCCGATCGTCCATCGCGAATGGTTATCGTCCCTATATTGTCGATACTACTTATTTAAGAGAGCGGTTCAGTTTGAACTGCTCTCTAAAGATGACTTATGAGAGCGGTTCAAATTTAACCGCTCTCTAAAGATGACTTATGAGAGCGGTTCAAAGTGAACCGCTCTCTAAATGTGACTTATGAGAGCGGTTCGAGAGCGGTTCAAAGTGAACCGCTCTCTAAAGGTGACTTATGAGAGCGGTTCAAAGTGAACTGCTCTCTAAAGGTGACTTACGAGAGCGGCTCAATTTGAACCGCTCTCTAAAATTGAGTTATAAGTCTTTTTACGTTGCTTTTGAAATATTGAGTAATCTGCAACGATAGTATTAAAATTGATTAAAAAAATATGAGTTTCGAATGCTGGACGACGATAATATATTAAAATAATTATAAAAATATGTTATCGTTTCACTTTGTTCGATACTCGTGCAGTCTAGTATAGTATCGGTAATTTTGGAACGATACTCTATTAAAATAATAATAAAAATTTACTATCGTCTATGCATGTGCGATACTACTGCCACCCTGGTAAAAAAAAGCTCCAGACACGGAAATAGTTTAGCAAAAACCTTATTTTAAGAATTTGTTTTTAAAAATGTATTATTTAAATAAAAAAGCCCTTTTTTCTTCTAACTAGGAATATTCATTATTAATGTTTTCAAAACTATAGCAGGGAAATTGTCGGTATATGATTTATTGGTTTAAATTTTTTTTTTATTAATGTTTGTGTACGATCATAATTTAATTATGGAAACAGATAATAATTAAATATATATTTTTAATATTATGTGATGCATTAAAACTTAGACTATTCTAAATTAATTAATATTTTTTTCTTCTTATAAATTAAGTAAAATTTAAAAGTAATGTAAAAAATCATAATTATCACTCTTATTTAAGTTATTTTTGTCTAAAATATCTTTTATTGTAATTATATTACTGTCTCTAGTATTTTTATAAGGCACATTCTAGAAATTTGTAATGATCCTGTTTCCATAAAATATTTATTATATATTTTTTCATTTGTCTTTAATAAATAGAGTATGTGATAACCTAAACTAAAATTAAGAAAGATAAAAGTTGGGACAAAATTTAGGTGTAGTTACTTATGTGTTGTTGGAGTATTACCTTAGTAATCAACAATAACATTAAAAATAAATATTTTATTAAAATAAAATTCTAATAGCAATAACGATTTATTTTAGTCGCTATCCTTTATTAATATTGGTAGCATCTAGAACGAATGAGTCATCGAGTGATACACAGATGTATCATAATTTTTTATCTTTTAAAATAAAAATAAACTAATGAATAGGATATAGGGAGTTGTCATGCATGAACATGGAGATGTGATTTATTGAAGCAATTGTCAATGAAAATTTTGACGAATTCGCAGTGTATTTGTAGAATGCTTGTTTGTTTGCAAAAGGAATAGTTGAGACGTAATGAAACTCTCAATTTGTTTTTAAAATTTAACGAGAAAAACAAATGGATATCTGTTTGCTGGATTTCTCGATCAATTTTTGTTACTTGGAATGGAAGTATCAAGTTTCTATTTATAGTTATTACTCTGTTTGTTTCTTATTTAGTTGTTGCAAATATTTTTTTTTAAAGAAAATGTATAGTTTTGATAAGAACTCTCAATTAAAATATATTTAATTAAATTAATAACTATATAATTTTTTATAATTTCTTTAAATTTAATTGATTCCATTTTTAAATATTACAGCTTAAAAAATAGTTTAAATATATTTAGTCGGTTACATTTTAAAATTAAAGTTCATGTGAATTTTTGTCATTTTAATGTGAAATATAAAGACAATGCAATGAATTTGAGAGAAAGATAATAAGATTAAGAGAAAAGTGAATGAAAAAAAAAATACTTACTTAAAATTACTGTTCATAAATTATGAATAATTAAGTTTCAAAAAAATTATTATAAATATTTAATAATTTGACATTTTTAACTGATAATATTATTGAGACTGGAAGACAACTATGATTAAGATCACTTAAACTTAAATCCTAATTAAAAGAGTACAGCGTAGTGCTTAGTGACTTACGACGTAAAGACAATGATAAAAATTTCAATTAAAGAGTAATACAAATACAGATATAAAAAACTAAAAAAAAAATTAAGTGGCATTGAAAGAATATCAAGTTCTAGGTATTAAAAAATGTTTTAGTAGATATTTTGCTTATTCATAAATAAGTCATGTAACATAATAATTCATGTTAGTTATCAATAGTAATAATTTTTTAGCTTATCCTTTAAAATTCATTTTATATCACAAAATTCTTTTTTTTTTTTTAAAGCCCAGAATATTAACAAGAAAACAACAAACTTATTTGGAAACATGTGTACTCTAACCTTAAAAAAGGACAAACTAAAGCGTTAGTAAAAAAGGGTTAAGCTAAGTATATGTGTTTTTCTTGGAAAACATTCCTCTTGAAATATTCCAAGTGTCTAACCTGATACAGTACTTGGTTACAATTTCCATCATTTGACGAATCAAACACCAAAACCAAATTGACCACTGCGACTCTCTTCTCTGCTTCTCCTGAACGTGCAACTCCATTACACACTCACAAAATGGGCTTCTCCTCCTTTCTGGGCCGTCTCCTTTTTGCTTCCCTCTTCATTCTCTCCGCATGGCAGATGTTAGTTCTCTCTCTCTCTCTTTCTCTCTCTAGATCCATTTTTTACATAACGTTTAGGTTGCTGCAAGAAACAAAAAAAACTCATTTTCCCATTATATTTTCGTTTTTGGGCATATGGGTTTTTATTCAGATTTGTATTTTCACTATAGAGACACGTAGATATAGTGTAAAGTGCAAACCCATGAATCCATGATGTTGTTTACTGGATATCTATCTGTTTTGATAATTGGGTTTTTTTAATGTAAATTATTGATTAATTAATTCTCTCAAGTTTGCCAGCATATGGGGATTCTTATGTTTTAAACATTGTTGACTGTTAGCAATAGCTACAGCCAATGCACTCCTGAAATTCGAAGTTGTACATCGAATATGGAATATGGGTTTAATGTTGTTTTTCCTTAAGTTGGTTTTTTCAAATCCTTGAGGATTTTCGTGTTTGTAATTAGTAATGAAAGTTTGATATCAAGTGAGGCACAGACTAAGAATTGATAGTTCAAATGACTCATTTAACATGGGTTGTGTAGAAGTCTGTGCTTAACATTATATAAAAGGAGCTACGAGACACTAAAATTGTGATGATTTGTTCTAAGTATTGGTAATTCTTTTGTTATTACTTGATATCGACAGTAATATTGATTTATCTTTTTCTACTTACTGTCCTTCTGAAAGTCCCCTTTTTTTGCTTATGGATTCTGTTTCCTTTAATGTCACATTTTGGCAAGATTGTGGGGGGGGGGGGGGGGGGGGGGGGGATGTGGAATGGGTGGATATTGAATATAAGGGCTTAATAGAAGCTTAGCTGTGTTAAGAAATCAACTGATAGAGTGAGACCCAGCTAGCTGGTTTTCCAATGTATTCGTAACATAAAAATTCAGGAATCCAAAACGTACCACATGCAATTTGTGCTGAGATTGCAACTTTATAAACTTTACATGGACCCAAAAGTACCAATTTCAATATGTCTTGGAGACTTATTGATTGGAATACATTTCTATAGTCAGCTGCAGCCTTTTATGCAGTTTTAACTCCAATTACTTCATTTTGTAACTAGCTTGGTGGTGGATTACCAGTTTGATGTTCATGAATGTGCTTAGCCTTTGTACCAAATACCTTGTTGATAAGATTTTAGCCAATCAAATGTCGAGTTGCTAAAGCAGTTTTAGTTTGCTAATAATACTATCGAATCAACATTTAGTACTTTTGTATTTATATAGAACGTATGTTGCTAGGTTTAATGAATTTGATGCCACTGGTGGACCCATTGCAAAGGAGTTGATTCCCAAGCTCAATGTTGTGAGGAGAAATTTATCCTTCAAACTGGGAGTAGAGATACCAGATATTAATGTAATGCCATCTTTTCTCATATTATCAGTTCTTTGGAATTGGAATTCAATTTCGACTTGCCTATGTCTTTCTGATCAAAATTTAAATACAGGTTCGGCAATTGATTACCACTATCATATTTCTAAAGGGGGTTGGAGGGATTCTATTTGTGTTTGGCAGCACATTTGGATCTTATCTTCTGGTAAGAGCGGTCTTCTCTCTTACCTTTGAAATGAATAGAAGTTGTCATTCTTAATTTATTTTATAAGTTTTAATCCTAAAACATTATAATCCAGTGTCCTAACTACCTTTTTCCCTCCTAGCTTTGGTATCTGGGGCTTACTACACCAATACTGTATGATTTCTATAACTATAGCCCTGATAAGCCTGAGTACAGTTTACTGCTAAATGATTTCATTCAGGTACGTGCTTCTGCAAACTATTGGTATTTCCTGTTTTTCTATTTAATGATTTTGTCTATGTGAGAACCTTATGTGTATTCACTTTTTTTTATGGCAGAGCACAGCACTTTTTGGTGCATTGTTATTTTTTATAGGGATGAAGTACTCGATTCCCAGAAAACAATTCAGGAAGAAGACCCCAAAAACAAAGACAGTTTAGAAATTAGGAAAAGAAAATGTATCTGTTTCCAGTGAAGAGTTTATTTAAATTGCATTGTTGCTGCGTTTTGGAATAGTTAAGTGAACCATTTTGCATATTGTTTTTGTAAGTTGGCACAGAATTTGATTATGAATAGTTTGAGCGTTCTTATTCAATTATGTTTTACTTGCTCTAAGAATAGCTATTAACAAAAACCTTTGGTTAGATTTGCTCGTCAATCAAGGTTTGATGGCTAAGATATTTTGGCACTAATTGTCTTCACAGATTAATTATCTCACAATTTTTAATCCAGTTGAAGTTGTTTTATTTTATTCTAAACTGGTATAATTCAAATACTATATAATATCCAAGATATAGTACATACAAAATATACACTTTCCAATTTGAGAGCCCTGGCACCTCAGTGAATGTTTGATTTTATTTATTTTAAAAATTTGTTTATTTATATTTTTTGAGAAAGTTTTTGAAAACTAAATAATTTAAACTTAATTGAACATGCTATTGACGTTGCCAAAACTTTGACAAGGCATGGAGTCCCTACTTTCTCGAGACACCACTTTTGGAATTAGTAGTCTCAAATATGAGAAAAACACGCCACATAAGCTTAACGGTTGACAGAAAACAAAAGAGTTTAATTGTTGTATGTAACCCTTACAATCATGTATGTGTTAATTAACTTAATCGCCCAGAATCAAATATTAAACAATTAGAGCAAAATAATTTTTATACATATTTAGCTTTGACTAACTTAAACAATATGGCTTAATTTGAGTACAGTCAAATTGATTCATACGTAAATTTACTTTTGTTTTTATCAGAGGAGAGTTATTTGTGCATTACTTATATGATTGAATATGTCGACTTTATTAAGCTATTCTACTTTTTAAGTGAAACCAATTTCATTGACCATTTGGTGGATAACTAGGTCCCTTAAATAAATATGTTGATAAAAGTTTTCATGCTTGACCGTGTGAATAAAAAAGGCTTTGTTGATAGAGATTATCCCACTTGGATGATCTTGCTGCCTCGAAGGGCCACATCATCCACCATCGATTGAAGAAAATCCATTACGTGCACGCAAAAATAAAATAAAAATTCATTGAAAAATAATTTGGCATCATATTGTGTTGCACTTCCTTTGTACTCTCCAATCCACTCTCTAAGTCTTTCTCTTCATCTCTACTTTTTTGCTGGTAAACGAAGGTGTAACAAGAAAGTGACGTTAAAAGAACTTTTTTCCAATTTCATTTGAGATATTACAACTGCCTTTTCTAGCAGCGACCTCCCCACCACATAAAGGTGTAATATCTTATTTTATGTCAACGTGTGTTTGGCAACATAATTCAGAAAAATAATCATTTATTTGTCAAGAAAAAGTTTCCTAGTTAACAAAAAAAGATATTTCTTAAAAATGAACTAATCCAAGCATGCACACTACTTATGCATTCCCTACCAACATGGTTCTCTTTTATTATAACTCAAAAAGTATAAAAGTTAGTGGAAGATACACACATGGAAGATATCTGCAGCCAAATGACTAATTAGCGACACCTTGTCCAAAGCCATAAAGATTGATACATAATATTTTATAAATGGCTTCCACGTAGAACAGGTAGACCAATTAGAGAGTGAAAGACAAATTTCACTAAATACAAGGATAGAAAAACTAGAGAGGAAAAAGAGAAGGGTACATTACAAAATGAAGAAAAAAGTGTAGGTAAAAATATTTCTAGTTTAGGAAGTATTAATTACTCAACCAGTTAATGATGTTCAAAAAGTGGTAAAAGTAATCATAATTGATCTGATTAACCACTTGAGCAGTTAACTATTCCTAAATTGAAAGTAGAAAAAATTTTGCTTCCTCCAAGTAGAAATTCTTCCTTCACCCGGGTGTTACATGACAAGTAAGTTTTATTCAATAAATGGATTAAACAATGAAGGGTAGATTCACACTTCAAATAACTTGTTCACGCAGCATAAAGTCCAGTCTGAATCATCCCTTGAAGCAACTAGACCACCTCCATCAGTGCTTATGAACTCAGCACCTGAACATGACATTAAAGCTGGAAAATTTTCTTTGCCAAAGCCATCAATTTCCAGTTCATTATCCTCACTTTCAGTGATTCCAGCATCATTGTTCAATTTTTTACCACCATCTATTTCAACATTGACTTGAGGACCTGACAAACTATTGATACCACGGTCATTGGTGATGTCTTCTTCATCTGACAAACACCTACAGCAATCAAACTCATCCAGTTCATAAAGTTGGCTCATTAACCCTTCCCTCCATGATATCCTCATTTGGGATTGCGAGGCATTCTCCGTTGTAGAACTAGATAACCAAGGATCCTGATCATCCAAAAGTCTTGGAAGTTTGCTGAGATCAATGGATTCAAAAGGCACAGTTAAACAATCAAACTGGAAACTTGAATTAACAGAATCCTCCAGTGGCATAGAATTATTGAGAAGGAAGTTCTCGTATAGAACTTTGCTGGATGAGGTAAGGTCAGGGTTAGAATTATCTTCCTTTCGATTGTCTGCATGCACCAATGACAATCCAACATGTAAATCCGAACTGGAATCTGACTTTGGAGTTTGAATAACATTTCCACTACTAAATGAATTCAGGGAGAAGGGAGAATTCTCATCAATGAGATTGTACTGATCATTGTTTCCTTTTCGTGAGCTACCTGTCCTACAAATAGACATGGAATTGGGAGAAAACAATAAGGATGGATAAGGCAATAATATGGAATCAGAAGGTGCTTGAAATTCAGCAAGTTTGCTTGGAGAATTTGAAGATCTCCTGATATCATTAGCACCACCAGACAAATCACTGCTATCACTTACATTCCAAAATGCTTTAGAACTGGATGATGGTGAAATACTGGAAACGAAAGTTGTGGATTCCGCCAATCCGTGAGTTTGATTTAACCCATTTTCATACTTCTGACTTGGAATTTTCTTTCCCTTGCTACGTGGAGAAGAAAGCCATTGCACTACGGCTTCAGTTGGCAAAGGTAACAAGGAAGTACTAGCGTTGTTATTAATATCCACTATTTTTTTCTCATCATCATCAAAACTATTAGCAGTTACTTTATCAAAGCCTGAATAGTTCTCTTCTACAGTGAGAATCCCTCTAGGCCTACATTTCCTCTTGTCAGCAACACCAGAAACAACATAGCCGGCACCATAACAAGCAGGTGTTGGTGTTTTGGGAACCAAAGAAGACCCACCACATTGTATCTCTGGGGAAACAGAGTTGTGAATTGGAGGTGTTCTACCGGTGCTTGTGCTTGGGTTCTCCACATCCTCATAAAATCTAATATCTTCCAAATCTGACCCAGTAACCTTTTTACTACTCAAAGGAGTCAAACTTGCATCAGTTTGACACGACGTCACGAGGGCATGCTCCCCAGCATTATCATTTATCCCTCCCTGGGTATCCTTCTTTTGCTTTAACTCCTCTGATGCAGATGGCAATCTAGATAAAAACTTGCCATGTTCATTCAAAGAAGAACAAGGCTTAGACTTTTGGCCAGTCCTGGAACCAGATTTCTTCCCAGACTGCCACTGGTAGAGGCATGGGGGATTCTTCCTATGCGCCCGGCCCTTATCCGACCCGAGTTTTTTCGTTTGCAGCCCAACATTACCCTTTGGAAGGTTCTCCTTGGAGGACTTAGATTTAGATTGTTTCAATGCTAGTGCATGAGGGACTGAGTTGGGAGTTTTGGTAAGATTCTTGGGTCTATAGACAGGGGTTTTAAAAGAAGAGGAAGACAAGAACTTCAGGCAGCCCTTTGAGGCTTCAGTGGACACACTAGAGGAAGCATAACTACTGTTGCTGCTACTGGAAATGCGGTTGATATCCTGCAAAGGGCTTCTAGGACTTTGATTCTTCTTTGCGCATGATGATGCAACTGTGATTGGTGTCGGTGGTGGGGGCAAAGAGGAAGATTTCTTTGATGCAAATCCTCTACTCATTTCGAGGCTTGCAGGATCTACATCACATTGAACTGATCTCAATACATTAATTAACATGACATTCAGCGTAAGAACAATAGTTTTTCAAAAACACGAGGAACCCCATGAAGGTAGATTAATCTTTAATTCTACCCAGCACACAAATATGATCCTACCAGTAAAAAGGAAGAATTTTTCCACGGACGGAAAATTTAATTTCTAAAAATGGGACATTCTTAAAAATTGCTTCGGAAACAGAAATTGGAAATGTGGTGAAAGATCAGAAAGCCAAAATAAACAGACAAATATAGGGAAAGTGGTGATTTTGACGTTACCTGTGAAATCAAAAGATGGGTGTGATAGATCTGAAGTACGATGTTGGAGTTGAGCAGTGTTTTTGAGCAAGAAAGAGTCTGAAACAAAAAATGAGATCAATTTCAACTGGAACAAACCAGCAATTGTGTGTGTGTGACTCGTTTACTTGCTTTCGTTGCATTTAAACTTTTCACTTTAAACTTTAAAATTAAAACAATTAAATGCATTATATAATTTGCTCTTTAAAGTTTAAACTTAAAATAAAGTTAAGAATAATGATGTTCATCGGTCAACTCCACGACTGTCGAACCATTTCAAATAAATAAATAACGTAAAACGAATGTTACAAGATAATTAATAATTATTTTGACATTCATAATTTGAACCAATAAAGGTTACGATATATTTAGTTACATGAGTTTTTTTTTTTTTCATCTGACAGAGTTAAGAGAATAATTTTTTTTCAAAATATTTATTTTATTAAAAATACTCATTTTTTTAAAATTTTTCTAAGTAACTAAAGATATATTTTATATTTTTTAAGTTTTAATAATTGTTAAAAATAATATTTATTATTCATAATGAATATTTTATCATGTTAAAATAATTAATTTAAAGGGATCAAGAAATACGTTATAAAAATTTGAATTAAAAGTAAATTTTATATAATAAAAATACTAAATACTAAATACTAAATATTAAAAAATTACATGACATAAAAAAATCATCCTTAAAAATTCTTACTGACAATAACTCTTTAAAAAGTTTTTAATAATAATAAAGACCCATATTTAATATATAATAATATTTAAAGTTTAACGTATTTTATTTTAAAAAAGAATTAAAGTACTTGAGTAAAATTGTTTAACTTTTGAATACGTTTGTTTTCTCTTCAAATAACAACAAACATATTTAAACAGAATTTATTTTTTTATTATTGAAATGTAATTTAAGTTATAAAAAAAATGCTTCAACTCTTGTAAAATAAGATCTAAAAGAAAAACTCTAGACTCTAGTAAAATAAGAAGTTAAGAATTTAAATATAAAGAATTGTTTTATTGATCTAAAATAGCATTTAGTTATATAATTAAAATGAAAAATATTTTAAATTAGTTTAAGCGATACACAATATGAACATAATTTTACTATTATCTATAACTATAATTTTTCCTAATTTTATTAACTATTTTTTTTTTCTGTTTCGATGCTTCATATCATCATCATCATTATAAGTAAACCAACAGTGTAATAATCCAAGAAATTGTTAGTCAATAATTGAATATCATAATAATTAATTAGTTAATATAGAAGATTTGAGAATAAAAACCTTTATCAAAGAAATTTGTGAGAGAAAGCATTTTTCCAGTTCCAAGTTCAAACTACGAAGAAACGCAGCAGAATAGGAACCTTTCTGACTCTAATCACTGCAACAACATCTTCTCTTTCAATGGTACAATTAATCTCTCTTTTTTTGTTACCGTTAATCTGTCCACAGTTTTGTTCTCATATGCATACGGTAATGCTCTCATGTCACAGGATTACCTTAAATCAGCGCTTCCTTCCCAAATAATGTCAGAACGAGGCTCCAATTTGGTTGTTATCAACCCTGGTATGCAAAATTTCCAATTTTGAGTACCACCCATTTGCTATCTTCTTCCCATGATCATTTAACTCGGTGTATAAACAACACCAGACACATAAATATTGTAACTTTGTTGATACCATACTCATTATTACTCAGGTTCTGCAAATATTAGGATTGGTTTGGCTTCACAAAATAACCCCCTTAATATTCCCCATTGTGTTGCTCGCCATACCAAACAAGTTCCTAAGAGGAATGTCATAGATCAGGTTTTTGTGATGATTTCATAATTTACTTCATATTACCCCCTTCTGCAGGCATGCATGATTTACTTCAGTTGTTGTTTGTTTTTGTTTTCTGCATTTAGATGCTCAATAGTCAGGTCACGACTGTACAGCACATGGAAAGGGAAAAGTCTTATGATGTTGTAAGTGATGACACATTGTGAAATTGTAAGTAGCATTCACTTTACAGTATGCTAATGTCGACTTTTTTTCCCCTTATGCGAAAAAAAAAAAAAAAGATTGCATCACTATTGAAGATACCATTTCTAGATGAAGAAGCTCCCAGTAACTCTTTCCCTCGTAAGGTACATGGAATGTTTTATTCAGTTTTCAAATGAACTCATCACTTTTGTTTGAATACATGTGCTTATCTTCTTGGTTGTGTTACTGTAGTTTTGTGATGTAAATAATGTTCGAACCTGCCTGGATTTTCTTTGGTACTAGTATTCTCCTTTCAAAACATTGTGTTTTAAGTAGTGTGGAATTCCTGGCAATTTTGTTGTACTTGCTATCATAAGGATTTTGATCTGAATATAAGTGATGAACTATAGAGCAAAAACAAGCTGCAAACAAATATATTATTCATGAAGGAAAGGACATTGTAATTTTATTGACCATTATGGGCATTTTTCTGTAAAGGTTATTTGGCCTTAATAAAAATAGAGCGTGTGATTTATATGCTTAACTGAGATTTTATATATTATATTATTTATATTTATACATGTATGATTTGAAGATATGTTAACTTCACATCCTTATAATCTCATTTCTGAAGTTTGTCACTTCGCCCATGCCAAACAAAAATTGCAAAATAACAGGTTATGTAGTGAGAGAATATGGCAATAGATCTGTTTTGCGGATCGTTGTTGTAGCAGATTATTCAATTAGTCTATGAACATTTTAACAAGGATGAATTTAAGATTTCTGAAAAATAACTTTTCTACTCTCAGGATCTGGTATAATGGAAATTATCTATTTGGAAAATTCTGTTAAGTATTTGGGCAGTTAATTGGTTTTTCCTTTCTAGGATTCCTACATCACCATAAAACTGCATTGTAAAAAACGTTTTTTTTTTAATTGATATTCATATTATGAATTTCAAAATACTCATCACTTAATGTGCAGATGGGACGTGTTGATGGACATAATCCACATATTCTCAGGAAAGATTTGCCGTTCACTTGGACTAACGTCTATGAGGAGGCCACTAATTCATCTTTGTCACTAGGTAAGAGAAAATTAACCTCATTGCATTTTACCTAGTACTTTCCTGAGCTCTTCAGTTGCATTTTTGGCTTTGGATGTGTTTATGACATTTTGCTTAGTATTTGATTTATCTCTGAGTCTCTTTTAACAATTACCTAATAGGATCTGGAAGTACCTTTTGTGAGTATTATGTTGAACAAAGGAATCCTAGAGCTGATGCCTTACCTATCTTGTTATGAAGTATTGCAATTATGTGAAAGGGCCTGGAGAGTCAGTTTAAGATAAATTTTTGTTCTTCTATTTTTGGTTGTATTTAATCGAAACATATTGTTGTCCTTTATTTTTGTTATTCTTATCTTATTTTTGTCATTTTTGTCGTTCTCAGCTTATTGTTACCCACAAAGAAAGAAACTAAAGAAATAGCTGTACTGCTAGAAGTTCTATGGAACAGCTGGCTGTTACTGATTGTTAAAAGGGAATATGTTTCACATAAACATGAACTGGGGTTGTGCTGAATTTTGCTAAAGCTTAATCTGACTTCAATCAATTTGTTGTGTGAAAGCTTTCTGATTCTTTGTCATCCATTATTAGCATTGTAGACTTACTTGAGATGAGAACATATGGAATTTAATTTTGCTTTTATTTTAAATTCTGTTACTTATATTAAGTAGCACTATATTATGTATTGTATACAAATTTGCACTTGTAGAGACTTCAAGTAAAGATGAACCTAGTGATTCTTTGGATCCAAAAGAAGGTACAGATTCAAAGGAACCTAATGCAAGTGAACAAAAATTCAGAGAGTTCATTTGTGGTGAGGAAGCATTAAGAATATCACCAACTGAACCATATTGTTTATGTCGTCCAATCCGCAGAGGACACCTGAATATTTCTCAACATTATTCCATGCAGCAGGTAATTTTCACTTTCACCAGAATTCAATCAGTGTAAGTTAGTAATTTTAGTTAGATGCCTACCATATACTTAATTAAGAAATCATATTATACCATAAAGTTAGTTGTTGCATCATAATGTTATGTCAAAACTTAAAGGTTGCTTTTAATTATGTATTATTTATGAATGCAGCATAACAATAATTTTCTTTTTTTTTAAATATTTTGTAACCTGCCTGCATTTTTCTTACAAAGTTATAACAGATGTTTTACTTTATAAAGCAATGAATTTGTATGCTTTGAATTTTTTGGAAATACATGATCTACTGGCTTCAATGAAAACAAGTAATTTGTGTTTGTATTATGTAAAGGCTTGTGTCTGTTTTCTCTTAAAAAGATTAATCACAGAAGAAACTAAAAGAGAAAAAGGTACTTGTAAAGCCTCTTGAGTCCTGATCACCTACTGCAGAATGAGGCAGTTTTAAATAAAGCCAATGTTAAAAGTTGTTGATGCTCCAATTGAGAAAATCAACAATATTGATTGCCACCTTTGGAGCTTTTAGACTTTGCAGACTGCAAGAATCTTGTAGCATTGAAATTTGGAAAAATCCCAATTTGTTGTTGGTTTTGCTTCTTCCTTCATCATGGCATCACCTATGGGCTTCTTTGCTGTGGTGATAAATTCATATTTTGATATATTTTATACTATTTACACTAATTATGCTATTAATTGTTGCAATTTAGCTAGAAGTTGTTATCAGTGCATTATAGAAATATTTTGAATAAAAATTAGATAATTTTAGCCCTTAGCCGTGCCATGTGAATCTGAGTTTGAATTTTGAATTTAAAATTTAAATTTAGATATGAAGATTTGAAGTAGTTTTCAGTTAAGATTCTGATTGTAAATAAAACCGATTTAAAAAGATAAAAACTCAACCGACCAGGAACTCAAGGCACATCCTATATAAAGAGGTTTTATGTTTTACACTTAACATTTCTCTACTTCATTCTACACTTTTTTATACCATTCTGTACACCTTTCTCTTTTTTAGTTTTGACTTACTTCATCGTTGAGAGTTATCGGAGATCATTAGTAAAGACGATAAACCCCTTCGGAGTTGGAGCAAGTGATTGAGCACCTCCTTGGAGAACGAGAATTTTTTTCATCTTTGTCCCTTTTGAGTTTCTCTTGTTTGCATTCTCCTTTGTGTTTTATAAATTGGTTCATTATGTTTTTCATTGTGTATTTCTTTATGAGTAACTAAATTCATAGTTAAAATTATGAGAGATCCTATTGCATAATTTGTGTGATTTTTACTTTTACTATCAGTATTAGTTTTTTTTTAATTTTTGGCTTTTATTCTATTGAATCATATTGTATATGTTAACAATTGATCACCCTTAGCATATCATAATTAGTTGCATTATAGGCTAACGTACCACGTGTAATTAATGGAACTATGGTTAGATTAATCACACTTAATTCCTCTCTTTCAACCGTTATTAAATTAACAAACTCATAGGATTTTTATGTTTTCTCAGTCATTTGTCTTGCATGATTATTAGGGATAATTGTTCAAAAAAAAAAATATTAACATTACATGATCAACTATAGGATAAAACAAGATAAAAAGTTAGGTTAATCACACTTAATTCCTCTCCTTCAACCATTATTGAATTAACAAACTCATAGGGTTTTTATGCTTTCTCAACTATTTGCCTTGTATGATTATTAAGAGTGATTGTTCAGGAAAAAGAATATTAACATTAAGTGATCATTAAGTGTTAATAGAACTAATATGAGTGGTTGTCAAATATTCAGATACCAATACTGAAGTTAAAATAATTAGAACATAAAGAAGTGTAATAAGTAAAATCATAAATCCTAGACTCATCTCATTCGATTTCTCTCATATGTTGCATTATTGTTCTCTTCAATTAATTGTTAACATTAAGTCTTGTTTTTAATTCATCACACTTCCTTTGCATTTAAACAATTGAATCAAGGTATTCTTGGTACTTGAAAATAATTTATGTGGGATGATAACTTAGAAACTCTTTTTAAAAATCTTTTTATTACTTTTCGACGGTACACTTGCCTATGAATGTTGCCTGTTGCATTTATAGGCTAGTTCCTCATTTTAAAAAATCAACAATAGGTATTCTTCATAATGGAAATTGGAAAAAAATGAAGAAGTGGAGGATGATATGTTCAATTATTAAAAAAATATTAGTTTATGATGTAATTGCGAATTGGTGGTTTAGGAAATTATCGTCAGTAATTTGGGAAATTATGGTTTGGCTGTTTGAGTTTGTTGCTATCTAATCCTTATTGAATTATATATTTATTTTGTTTTTTAGATTGGGATAACTTGGGTTTAAAGCTTGGGTTGCTTGTCCCAATAATTTAGATCCCATTGAGTTGCTTATATAAGCCATGTCTTGGAGATGTTTTATTCTTGCCTATTTTGCAGGTACTTGAGGATCTACATACTATTTGGGAGTGGATTTTAGTAGAGAAACTGCATATCCCTCGCAATGAAAGAAACATGTACTCTGCTATTCTTGTGATGCCAGAAACATTTGATAATCGTGGTATGTAGAATTTAGTTCATTTGAACTGTGGGATGTTTCACCTTTTTCTTGTAAGACATGTGATAAATAATTTGAAAACTATCATCCATTTATTTTGCATGTTGGAATTCCTTTAAATTTCTTATTATCACACCCCTGCTATATTCATTTTATGTTTTTCCTTTGCCATAAGCAGAAATAAAGGAAGTACTATCTTTAGTACTGAAAGAACTCTGCTTTGGCTCAGCAGTGGTTCACCAGGTATGACCTTTTATCTCACTATTAAGTTTGTACGATGAGTGCAGGTATAAATGAATCCAGTGAACTAAAGGCTATAGATGAATACCGGTATCATCAGCAAGCTCTAATAAGGGATCATAATCCTGATGGGTGGTGAAATTTAATTGTAGAATGCGGGTGGTGGATCAAACACTAGAGCGTTTGTTCCAATGGACTTTTAATGCATAAAGGAAAATTATTTTTCAGGATTTCTCCCTAGTTTCTGAATTTCATATGGAATTGTTTGAACAGGAAGGTCTTGCTGCTGTTTTCGGAAGTGGACTATCAACCGCATGTGTTGTGAATATTGGGGCTCAAGTGACATCACTTTTATGCATAGAGGTAAATGAAAATTCTGGATCTTTTATTTTACAATTGTTATTTTTATTATTTTTCAACACATCTTATTAGCACTTAATTTGGAATTTTCTTTTATGATATCTTGGAAGTTGGAATAACAAAACTATGTAACAGATTGTCATTGGATTTACTTTTCAACTTTAGTTAAACAGCTTGTATGCCAAAACAGCATCTAGTCTACTATGGTTTTGACACTAGTATAATTATTCTGAATGTAATTTTGCTTCTAGCTATAAATAGAGTCACTAATATAGGCAGCTAACTGCTTTTTTTGTTGTTCAGGACGGAGGTGCTCTGCCTTCAACTGGAAAGACATTACCTTTTGGTGGTGAGGTACAGAACAGCTTCATAATTCTACCCATTACTGATGTTTGGAAATAGTTTAAACTTTAAAGCTTAGAAAATATGCAGTTACTGACCTGGTTGTGCTTGGTATACTTATTATTAATTTTTTTACTGACCAAGCTTTTCTATGCTTTACGTTGGTTACTATGTCATTTTTTTTTTCACTTATACGTCATGTATAAAGCATAGTGGTCCAAAGAAATGGATTAATTAATTCTATGTACCATGTAGTTTATTGGTCCAAACAGAAGTCTTCAGCTAGCCTTGGCATTCAAAAAGACCTAAATGTTGAAAAACAAAAAATGGGCAAAATGGGTTAATAGTTATAATTCAAAAAAGGATTTACAGGTTTAAGAACTTGGGTTGACAGCGAAACACTGTCATCAGTGGCTAATATATTTAAAGAAAATAGTGCTTGTCAATTTGTGTATTGATTCTCTGTTGTGCAATATCACCATTTTTTATTTGTTTCTTGTCAAGATTTTCATATTATAATTCTTATAATTATTTAGCTGACCATATTTTGTGTTACAAATTTTATGATTTTGTGGTAGTATTTGATGTCATTGTCCAAATAACAACTTCATAATTTCAGGATATATCAAGGAGCCTTCTCTGGACCCAAAGGCATCACCAGACTTGGCCGCAAATTCGTACAGATGTTTTAACGAAGCCTATTGATATGTTAATGTTAAATCAACTGAAAGAGACATATTGTGAAATCAAAGTGAGTTCTACTCCTTTATCTCATTGCTGAAATGTTATTTGTTGTTACTTGTACTCTATTTCTAAGTTTGCAGACATTTCCTTAAGTTAGAGCTCAAGGTGGGGGTTACAAGTACACTGTGCACTGTACTTTACCTTGTTAAGTATATGGTATGTGGAGGTATATGTAGTTCGTATACCATTTGGGTTAGTGGTACATTTCAAATGTTAACAGGCATCATGTTATATTTTTAATATAACTTTTCAAAGAAAATTGAAAAATTACTTAAAATAATAAAATTTTAAGAAAAGCTAAGTTATGATATTTAAAATGATGTAAACATGAAAAATTCTAACACAAAACCAGCTTTAACATATCTAGTTTTTCTACATTCTTTTTTATGAGTTTTGTATTTCTCTAATAAGATTGTCTAACATTAATTTTATATATATATATAGAGACAAGATCTTCTCACACTAGTTTAAGTTTAGAAATTCTTATACTCGATTTAAATCTTTCATTTAATTTACATCTAATGATCAGTAAAGTAATAAATTATAACCTGTTAGATATAAGTTAAATGAAAGGCACAAATTGAGTACAAGAATTTTTAGACTTATTCTAGTATAAAAAGATTCTTCTCCATATATATATATATATAACTGCCCTTAAATGTACAAATAAGCCATAGCATATTGAACATGTGTGTGAATTTTCAAAAATGCATCTCATCACACACGAATAGTGCTGCTCCTTTAAGTATACATTTTTCCAAACTTGGATTCATTTTTGAATTATCTATTGTCCTGTCTATAGGATGGGGAACTTGATGCTGTTGCAGTAGTTCACTCATACGAGGACAGGGTACCAGCTGGATCTCATAAGACAAGGCTTACTGCTCTTAATGTATGTATCTTCTGTTGAATTCCTTCTTCATTGCTTGCATTTTGCCTTTGGACGATGCTATACTCGGACAGTGATAATGATTGTTTTATAGGTTCCTCCTATGGGATTGTTCTATCCAATGCTTTTAGTTCCTGATGTGTATCCTCCTCCACCTCGCACTTGGTTAGTGAATTCATAAATTTCTCCCTGTGGTGTGAGCTTATTTGTGATTTATATATTTACGCAACCCTGTTGGTTTCCATTGCTAGGTTCCATGACTATGAGGATATGCTTGAAGATACATGGCATATTGACTTTTCCCGGAAGTCTGACATGTCAGATACATTCTATCCCAATGTTAATGGGGGATTACCCATGTGGGAAAGCTATCCAGTTTTTTCAACTAAGCCAAAAAAGGAAGAAAAAGTTGGCCTTGCAGAAGCTATTACTAACTGCATTCTCTCAACTGGTCATTGTTTGTCCTTTTTTCTATTTTATATGCATGGTTCTGAACACGTGTGTAACTATTTGATGCTACATTCACAGGTCGCATAGACATCCAGAGAAAATTATTTTGTAGCATACAATTGGTGAGTTTTAAATGTTGAGCTCAGTGTATAATTTGTTAATATTACATGTTTATCAGAATGAATTGACACATTTATCTGGAATAGACTGGCGGGGTGGCATTGACAAATGGTTTAGTCGCTGCAGTCGAGGAAAGGTTTGTGTCAATTTTGATTTATCATATTTACCTACTTAACAAGAAGCTAATTGGCTTTTTCATTTTTCCTCACCTGTCATGAGTGATTTTGTTTATTATTTCATGATATTAAGCTCCTGGATTAATCCCGCTATTCTTTTTATGTCTCAGGGTTTTACATGCCATTCCTCCAAATGAAGCAATTGACACTGTGGAGGTTAGTTTTTAACCCTATAATTCAACTGTAGATATGTGCAAAATTTGCTCCAAGTGGCATTCTTGGCCATTAGGACGCAATATGATTGTCATATTGCTGTGTGAATAAGACATCCATAAACATTGATTAATAAAATGATTGGAAAAACGTTGAACCAATTAGGTGCCCAGTCCACTCAAACAACAAAGCAAAGAATAAAATCCAAAACTAGTGAAACCGGTGATAATTTGTCAATCTTTTTCTTTTTTAGTTAAACCAAAATCTTATCCTTAACATTCATCTTTATATATGTTGGAAGTTTGTATGTTCCGTTCACCATCCTATATGGGACTTGCAAGTGGAGTCTCCTCGTAACTTATATAGGCTGTATGTTTCGTTGATTCATTCACTGTCCAATGTGGACTTTGAAGCACTAAGCTACATGTAGATTATCCTTTTTGGATTTACTCAATTTGGCATTTGCTGGATGATTATCAAATAGCCTCTTATTCAGTTTGTTATCGTACTTAATATATTGTATAATATTAAAAAAAAAATTATATATATATATAATTATCACTACTTTAACCGCTGTTCAACCTAGGTCAGATCATTGAACTACAATAAACCAATACTATTGCCATTTTAATGACTACTGACTAGTCTAGTTTTGAAGTCATTGTCCATAAAATATATATCTTTCTGTTGTACTTATCTATATGTATATGTATGTTGTACTTGTTAAAACATCTATTGTCGGTTTAAGAAAGTTGTTGAGAAGATATATGTCGTCTGTGTGTGTGTGACCTACTATGCTTTTTGCTTGTTAATTGCTTGTTTTCTATTATTTTGTTTGTGATATCTTTTTTTACATGGTTCTTCAGGTTCTACAATCAAGGACAAATCCAACATTTGTGTCTTGGAAAGGCGGGGCGGTATGTTGAAGCACTTGTGACTATAACGCTTAACTTCTTACTTCATGAATTTCTTCTTCTTGATTATTATATGGTTCCTTTTGTCACTAATTATATTTTCCCATTCTGAGGATGTTATTGTTGAGTCTTTTGACGTGAACTCGATGGAAGATGTGGCATCAATTATTGGAAAAATGATTTTGTTACTTTCAAAATCATAAAACTCATGAATTTAGGGGTTAAAAGGGAAAATGAGGATGAGCTTGGGGAAGATTAATAAAAACGTTATCATTATGTTTAGTGCAATTTCAGATTCAGTGTTCACTGTTCCAGTTAGCTTGTGGACCTTTACTATTGAAATTATAATGGATAACAATTGTGGGTCCACTGCGATGCTACTTTAGATCAATTTAGTAATTTGCTGATTGCGAAAGCACACTTTTTGTGCATCAAGCAAGTGCTTGGGTTGGCAACAATCCTTTTTCTCATATTTTAATTAAGATAACAAAGAAGAATATATATATAGTCTGTTACACATATATATAGTCTGTCACATCCCTTGACTGGTGCTATCGTAACTTAGCTCACTTGCCTTTGCAGATTCTTGGAGTACTCGATTTAGGGAGGGATGCATGGATAAATCGGGAGGATTGGATTCACAACGGAGTTCACGTTGGGAGTAACAAAAAATACAAGGATTCGTATTATCTTCAAGCTCAAGCTATGTGTTACATGAATTCTTGAAAGGCTTGTGAGACACTACATTGAAAATAGAGAACGAGTGTGTTAAAAATGTATGAAATAGTTGCATTATTCGCTGACCCTGTTATGTTTTTGTTGTGCCATAGGACAAAGTTAATTCAAGTGGGTTTAAGCAGTTGTCTAGAATCTGAATGAAATTACTTGAAACTGTTGAGATTAATTAATCCTAGTGAGCGGGAATGAATGAACTTTGTAAATACATCCTGAAATGCATTCGTTTATGCTAAGTGTTGCATAGTAGTAGAGCCCACATCGAAGAGGTGAAGTAGAAGGAATGCCAATGAGCTCTTATAGATACAGCAGGAGAGCGGCTATGCAGATTTAAAAAGGGTCAGTTGGCTAAATATGCCACGTTCACCCTCGTTGGTGAATGCTGTATGGCTATCAAGACATATGGCTGACATAATTTCTGGAAACGAATAGGGTTGGCTCGCTTGGCCGACCCTCCATTTACACCTTCAACTCTTTTCTAATTATTCATTATTTTTTCTTTCTATGTATATTATTATCTGTGTCTTACTCTGATCTCTTATTTTACAATCGTTGTAACTTTCCCTTTTATGCATCTCAGGTGTTTTATTAAGAGTTGTGTTGAGTTAAATTATTTGCAAATAAATTTTTTGTATTAACGGTAAAATAAAATTTACTATTAATTATTTATTTTTTATTAATTCTAATCAGTAGATTCGGTGCAATTTGATAAATTTATTTATAATTTCTCTACTTTATATTTTAGGTATATATTAAAAAATTGACTAGTCTTTAAAATTTTGACGTCTAACTTTTAAATAATTATATATATAATAAAATAATTTTTAAAAATATTTTAATAATAAAAAATTATAAATATAATTATTAAGTATTTTTTTCTTTAAATTTAAGATAGAATTAACAAAATAATGGATATAAATAAACCAGTTACTGGAAGAGAGGGTAATTTATATATTATTTTTAATTAATTTTAATTTTAAATGAAAGAGAGTTCGATTAAAATTTTCATGTCTTAAATATTTTCATTTACAACATAAAGATTGATAAGTTTAATTTAATTTATATGGCAATAACGATTAAAATGAATTAATGTTAAGAGCTTAGACTCTGTAGGTATCTTCTGTTTTTAATTTTCTTTTAAGAGTACGAGTTTAAAGGAAAGGAAAAGTAACGGTAAGAAAAGATTGTTTTTTAAATAAAATATTAATTTATATAGTTTTAATAATGAAATATTAATTTAAACTGAAAAATTAGCATTCCCTCATCACTTTCTTCCAACCCGTCTATATATTTCCTTCTCTTTTTCATCAAAATACTCGGACAAATTTTTCGTACTAAAGCATTGCTTTCTTCTTTCTTCTTCTTTTTTTTTTTTTTCAAAAGCAACCCGTTCATATTGACCTCTTTTTATCGAGCAAAAAATGGTGTAACTTGAACTGCAAATAACAATTGATCACCACATACATAACAATAAGATGTACTTTGTGATTTGGATTTTAAAATATGGTTTGAGTGAAACATTTTTACCGTTTAACAGCTAAATGCTGTTAACATATAAGAATGGATTGCTTTTCTATCGGTGACAACTCTTGTCAATACAAAAATTACCTCACGTTGATATTGAGAAGATCCGGAAAGAAGATTCAATTGTTAAAATTATTTAAAAGTTTTCAAGTTGAAAATGCATTCACTGCAAAGTCACAGTCAATATAACAACCACGTAAACTGGAATTATTTTAATATCGATATATTAATCTTATTGTAAAGAATATCTAGAAGCCATGGTTGAATTTTGCAGTTGTTATTGGAACAATGATGACAATGTTGGGTTAGACTCCTAACTATGTGTCCAAAAGTCTAAATTTTCAAGCTCATTTTCTACACACTTAATTGAGGGGAGTGAGAAGTCAGTGGAGTAGGTGAGAGAAGTCCATTTTCGCAGCCTAGTGTGAGCATTTTCGGTGAGAGACATCAAAAAGAGAGAAGGGAAGTGAGGGAAGAAAAGAAGCTCCAGACCAGCTGCTTCATTTCTCTGATATCCAATTAGTTCACCGTTGGATCGGGCTGAAAATTTTACAGCAGATTCGTAACACGGTGCTCTTTGTTCTGACCGTTCGAATTGTCAATTGGAGGTCTGAAGTTGGAGATACTGTCTTCGCACAGAAGCCCTGTTTTTGGTGACTCTGCACAGACCAGCTGCTGAGAAATTGTTATTTCTCCTTAGTTAACCGTTGGATTGAGCTGAAACTTTGACAGTAGTTCCCAGACGTATATTTCTTCATTCTGACCGCTGGGATCGTCGATTGGAGGTTTTGGATGAGAGAAATCGTGTATGAACAGAAGCTCTGTTTTGTGAGATTTTCTCTCTTTGGTTAGGCTTTATTGCTTGGTTGTATTAGCTGATTATTTGCACGAATTTGTGCAGTATTTTGAGACTCTCTTGTAACCTCATTTGATTATAGTGGAGCTTGATTGATTGGCTTGAGCCCGTGGGTTTTTACTTCTCACATTGAGAAGGTTTTCTCACGTAAATAATTCTCTGTGTCCTTGTGTTTGTTGCTGCCATTTGTTATTGTTGTTGCTCCTCACAGGTTCTTGCAAGTTTGGGGAATTATTTTCGCTGCTCACTTTAGATAATTGTGTTCTTGTGTTTGGTTTTCCCAACAGAGTGGTATCAGAGCTCTTTGGGCTCTGGTTTTGAGATTATTTGACTTGCTTGAATGATGGAGGCAAATACAAAAATGGTAGCTTTGAATGGTACTAATTATCATTTGTGGAAGGGCAAGATGAAAGACTTGTTGTTTGTGAAGAAATTGCATCTTCCAGTCTTTACTACTCAGAAGCCGGAAAATATGTCTGATGAAGAATGGACTTTTGAGCATCAGCAGGTATGTGGTTTTATTAGGCAATTTGTAGAAGATAATGTATATAATCACATTGCTAATGAGACACATGCTAGAACTTTGTGGGAGAAGATTGAGTCCTTGTATGCTTCTAAGTCAGGGAACAATAAATTGTATTTGTTGAATTGTCTGATGAATTTGAGGTACAGGGAGAGTTCTTCTATTTCAGATCACTTGAATGAATTTCAAGGGCTCCTAGATCAACTGTCTGGAATGGGTATCAACTTTGATGATGAGGTTTTGGGACTATGGCTATTGAATACTCTACCTGAGTCTTGAGAGACATTTCGGGTTTCAATTATAAACTCAGCTCCTAATGGTGTTGTTTCTTTGCAAATGGCAAAGAGTGGCGCTCTTAATGAAGGGATGAGAAGGAAGGCACAGGGTTCTTCATCTCAGTCCGAGGTATTTTTCACAGAAAATAGGGGGAGAAGTAAGAAAAAGGAACCGAAGGGTGGTAGAGAAAAGAGCAGGAGTAAGTCCAAGTCAAGATACAAGAATGTGGAGTGCTATTACTGTCACAAAACAGGGCACATCCAAAAGAACTGTTTTCTTTGGAAAAAGGAGAACAAAGGCAAGAAGGGCAAGCAGAAAAAGAAGGATCATGATGATGATGATCGTGTCACTACTACTAGAGGTGATGATCTTGTTCTTCTTCGTGACTATGAGTCTGTTAATCTTGTATCTGATGAGAGCATGTGGATAGTTGATAGTGGTGCTACACTGCATGTTACACCAAGGAAGGAGTTCTTCACATCTTACACTTCTGGTGATTTTAGAGTGTTAAAGATGGGTAATGATGGTGTGTCTAAGGTGATTGGTGTTGGTGATGTTTGCTTGCAAACCAACATGGGAGTGCAATTATTACTTAGAGGAGTCAAACATGCTCCTGATGTTCGCTTTAATCTGATATCTGTGCCTTTGCTTGATGATTGTGGTTATGACAGTCACTTTGGTTCTGGAAAGTGGAAACTCACCAAAGGTAACTTGGTTGTGGCCAGAGGGGAGAAACATTCTACATTGTATTGGACTAAAGCTTTGCTTGCTAAAGAGAGTGTGAATGCTATGTACATGGAGTCATCTTTGTGGCACCGAAGGCTTGGTCATATCAGTGAAAAGGGGCTTAATTGCTTAGCTAAAAGGGATGCTCTTTCGGGATTAAAGAATGCAGAGTTGGAGAAATGTTCTCATTGCATGGCTGGTAAACAAACCAGAGTATCCTTCAAGAAGCATCCTCCCTCCAGGAAGTCAGAGTTGCTTGAATTGGTACATTCTGATGTTTGTGGCCCATTAAAGGTAAAGTCATTTAGTGGTGCATTTTACTTTGTTACTTTTATTGATGATTGTTCCAGGAAGCTATGGGTCTATGTATTGCAGAGAAAAGACCAAGTGCTTGAAAAATTCAAAGAATTTCATGCTTTGGTTGAGAGGCAGTCTGGCAAGAAGCTGAAATGCATTCGTACTGACAATGGTGGTGAGTACTGTGGACCCTTTGATGTTTATTGCAGGCAGCAGGGTATTAGACATGAAAAGACTCCTCCTAAAACTCCTCAGCTGAATGGTTTAGTTGAAAGGATGAACAGGACCTTGGTTGAAAGAGTTAGGTGTATGCTTTCTGAAGCAAAGTTGCCTAATCATTTCTGGGGTGAGGCTCTGCTTACGGCAGTGCATGTTATTAATCTTAGTCCTGCAGTTGCCTTGAAGACTGAGGTGCCAGACAAAATTTGGTTTGGCAAGAATGTGAGCTATGATCATTTGCATGTCTTCGGTTGCAAGGCCTATGTTCATGTTCCAAAGGATGAAAGATTCAAGTTGGATGCGAAGACAAGGCAATGTATCTTCGTTGGTTATGGTCAGGATGAATTTGGCTACAAGTTATATGATCCTATTGAAAAAAAGATTGTTAGAAGCCGTGATGTGCAGTTCATGGAAGATCAAACCATTGAAGATATTGACAAAGTGGAAAAGACTACACCCAAGAAAGATAATAATCTGACTGATGGTAATCCAATATGGTTGCTTGTTCACAATCTGGATCATGCTGAGACTAATTCTCAGAATGAAGAGCAACATGGTGATGTTGATGACCAGCAGGTTGGAGATGGATTAGAGGTTCCGATTGATGGTGATCAAGGGGAACATGATGATGATCTTGATGATGCACCAGAACAACCACTAGTTCCACCCAGAAGGTCTAACAGGCCGAAACAACCATCTAAAAGGTATGATCTTAAAGATTATGTGTTGTTGACTGATGATGGAGAACCTGAGTGTTTTGAAGAGGCTATTGAGAGTGAAGAAAAGAAAAAGTGGCTGGATGCAATGCAGGATGAGATGAAATCCTTGCATGATAATCACACTTATGACTTGATGAAGTTGCCTAAGGGCAAGAGGGCCTTAGAGAACAAGTGGATTTTCAAGGTGAAACAAGATAGTAATTCTACATCTCCGAGGTACAAAGTCAGATTAGTAGTGAAAGGTTTCAGACAGAGAAAAGGTGTTGATTTTAATGAGATTTTCTCACCTGTGGTGAAGATGTCATCCATCAGAACAGTGCTAAGTTTAACTGCTACTTTTGATTTGGAGGTTGAACAAATGGATGTGAAGACAGCTTTCCTTCATGGTAATTTGGAGGAAGAGATCTATATGAAGCAACCTGATGGTTTTCTTGTTAAAGGCAAGG